AGGAGCAAAACCTCTCACCTCTTGACTGAGACATAAAAGAGGGGAAACAGAAGGGGGTTTTTTTTGTTTTTGTTTTTTTGGGTTCCTAATATCCCTTTCCATGACATGTCCTTAATGACTGGAAAACTTCCCACTCATCCTTACCTCTTAAAGGTTTTGCCACCTTCCAACGGCACCATGGGTTGTGGGCCAAGCATTTAACACAGAGGCCTTTTGGGGGACATTCTGGATCCCAACTACAACAAGTGGTGATAGTATTGACAGCATAGCTTCCAGCACAGGCAGAACTGTGGGTGACTGAGACAGATTGGCCACAGACAGGTCAACTTCAAGGGCCTCCTTTGTAGTCATAACATTTGACAGTCCACTGAGCAGAAGCAGCTAAAGGGAAGTGGTTTAGCTAACAGAGGCTGATGAATAGTCTTTGTGGAGCTGCAGCACATCGGCACATCAGGCCTGATGAGCGCACTCACCACATTCAGGGTGAAGAAGCAGAACATTCCAAATGGACATTGAAAAGACACAGCAAGAATCAACTTTGGACAAGTCACCTGGAAAATATTGTCTCTAAATAAAGAATACTAAATTAGTCACAGTATGTTGCAAGCTAATATGAACATAGCTTCCTGGGAAAACTGTATAAGGTTTTTGATTTGATTTGTTTTTCTTTATATTAGGGAGAGTTTGGCGGGGGGTGGTGGTTGATTTTAGGTTGGGGGAAAGTTTGCAAGAAGAAAAGTAGAGTTGAACTTCTAAGGTTATTTAGTGCTGAAAGTGGTGTTTTTAATCTTTTCTTTTGAAATGTAACCAGAATCCAAACAAAAACTAAGTTACTTAAGGCCAAAATACTACTACTACTACTATTAATAATAATAATAATAATAATAATAATAATAACTCTTGGTTTTGAGTCCCACGTGGCAGGCACTGAGCTAGGTGCTTTCCATGTGTGACCTGACTTATTATTCACATAATCCCTGTTAGAAAAATGCTATCTTGTTTGCAGATGAGGAAACTGAGGCTCAGAGAGGTTAATTTATTCCAAGTCATATCACTCACAAGTCACAGAGCCAGTATCCAAATCTCTAGTACTTTACACTCACTTTGAGGGTCTGAAATGAGAAGACAGGATGATGACATCAACTTGAGAAAACAAAGGAGAGAAAGGAAACTGGGTATCAAGAAAAAGAAGGAATCCTTCAGACTGATCGCATCCTTTAGAGTGGCCGCGTCCTCATAACCCATTCATATGTCTGGGCTGATGTTCTTTTGAGGTCTGTGATACATCTTACCAGTCAGGCCCACTCCGATGTGGTAACTGCAGATCACTAGTTCAAAGCAGATACTATACAAGAAATGCACCTTATTCTTTCTGGCAGCTTCCAGGAGCTGGAAGGAAATCAAATTTGAATGTTTCAAATTTAAATATAAATGTCCTTATATTTAACTTTACATTGAATTTGCAGAAAAGACTGCAGTTTTAATTTACTGGAAAGCAGATGGAATCTGTCATGGGGTGGCAAAACACAAGAAACTTGTCCAAATGTAAGAAAAAGAAACAGATTTTTTTCGTTGTGGGTCAGTTTTATAACACAAGTATCTGTGAGGATATGCACACAAGCTGGTATTTCACCAAAATAGTAAACGTTGTATCTAACATTTATTGAGCAATTAAGGTTATATGTGCTCAGAGCTTGGCATGAATTTAATAATCATGAAGAACTCAACAAGTTAGTATTATTATGAGTAAACAACCACTTTAAAGATGAACAGACCGAAGATCATCAGAATGTTAAACAAACCAAGGTCACTTAGCTAGTAAGTAGCAGAGTGGGGATTTGAACTCCAGGCCATGGATCATAGACTTTCCTAGTGTAATGACTATGAATGTGTAACCCCGATAACTACATTTTTGAACAGTGGTACTCCAGCAGAAAAGAAAAGGAGAGAGGAAGTGGAAGGGAAGATAATTACCTCAAGCCTATACCAACTCTTGGAGACCAAGATAGATGGCTGAATGAGCAGCAAAGGTGGTCAGAAGCCACTGTGGCCAGGGAAGTAACCTGTGGTTAAAGGGTAGGAGGAGAAAAGTTGGAGCAACAACAAATGCAAATATAGAATAAAATGATGAAATCAAAGTGTATGAGCATGATGATGGAAGGAGAAAGGTAATTCTTGTAGAATAAGAGAATTATATATCCTACTCTAAGGTACAAATTGAGGTTTAAACTAATTAGGGCGGTTTCTCTAATTCTGTCCTTTTCGTTTCTAATTTCATGGGCTATAAACGACCCATTCAGCTCAACCTTTGGAATTAATACTGTTTGTTCTGACGGTTTCTCTGAGTAATGCAAAATTCCACTCTGTGGGGTTACTGTCGCTGCTAAAGGTTGGTGTTATAGTTTGGCTTTTTTTTTTTTTTTTTTTTTTTTTTTGGTACCTCTTGAAAGTTAATTAAGTCAGCTTTGACCATGGCTGTGTAACAACAGAATGGGCAGTTTCTTGAAGGTTCATGGTTTGGTTCTTTTCCTGCATACATTCCCACTTCTACAGTTAAAGTTCTAACTGCCCGAGTGGCTGGCTCGATTTGTGCCTGTGTGTCAGGGCAGTGCCTGGTTTGTGTGCAGCTGCCTTGGTATGCTTTGCTGGAACCTCTGTGCCAAGAGAATGCAGTTCTCTGTGGTCAGCCTATGGGGTTCAGCCTCTCTTGTTTCTTTTTCAGAACTCTCCCTGAGTTAGCATTACCAATTTGACACCATATGGTCCTGCGCTTCTCAAAACTGTTTACTTGATGTTTAAATTTTTAAAAACTCTTGTCCGTGAACTTAACTCTGAAAAAATAATGTAGTACTATCAACATTTGTGGTGTGGACCTCTCCTGATGACTTTGTGTAGATGTGACTGAACATTTAAAAAGAAAAAAAAAAAAAAAGTACTTCCCTTGCACAAAAGGCAGTTCCTTAATGTCAGTGCAGCTGTTTTGACTTTTATAAGAAAACCACAAACATTTTATCCTCTAAAACTTTAATTTTGAAAGATATAAGACTTTTTTTAAAAAAAAATACAGTGTTTCTGAAACCTATGTATAAGTAGCCTTCTTACTGTCCTTCAACACTTTAAAAGTTAAATGAAGTTCCTAACTTGAGAAGTTACATAGTTACAGACAAACTTTTCAGACCAAAATCCGTGTTACTGCTAAACTCCTAGTAACCTTTGAGATGTTAAGCTGTAATGGAAGCGGCAGCATTAGCCATAGAAACAAAAGGTGAGGGTAGCACAGTTCTCATGATCTCTCTCCCTATGGTCAGTGAATTTTCCATGGACACAGAAGCACAGAGGCCAGAAGCAAATGGTTGTGTGTTTTCCTGGGTTCACAGTAGCTCAACAAGCCATAGTAAATGCTGTTTTCTCTTTTTCCATGCTATAGCAACGATTCCATTTCCTGTTACATGGGAAAACCTATCCTGCTGTTAAAAGAAGTCACTGGATGTATTTATAACAACATTAAGACCATTTTGTCCATGGAAATAATTTTTATTGTTCTGAGTCACTCTGGTTTGTGGAATTTTAGCATGGGTTCCAGGACAAGGATGAGATGATATATTTATTTTACTTTGTGTCCTCTTTAATGTTTTTGAATGCATGAATGTCAGCCTTGTTGTCGAAGTATTTCCATATTTTTATTGCTTTAGAGCCGACTCTTGCCATATTGATGTCTCTTCATTGACAAGTCACTCTGTGTCCTCAGCATGCTACATTTTGGCAGAGCCTCCTTCTTCGCCCAGTGTGATGTGATCTCTTATTTTCCTTTCATGTCTTGTGAATGTATGTCTTTGCCATGTTAAAGATTTTGCAGACCTTCAAAACTATTTAATTTGTTTTGTTGAGTCACTGGAATGACTTTAATTAAAATTGTAAGCTTCAAAGGTCATTTGTTATGCTTTATGTTTTTTTTTTCTTGTTTTAAAGTAAGTCTCATTAGAAATGTTCCCTAATTCAGCCCAGAATCTCCCTGTGCTGAGACACACCCCAGAATCATAGAGAGTTCCTGACCGTCATTTTCTAATATTCTTTAGTTTGACTGCAGTTACTATATTTGTTAATCCTCTCTCAGGAAGTAGGTTTAAGACAAGTAATCATATTAATTGCTTGAATATAAACTTAAATAACAATTTAGATTTACAGAGAAGGCTTGGAAGTTCTGGCATTTTAGAAAACACTTGAGCCAGGCACAGTGGTACACACCTGTAATACCAGCAACACAGGACACTGAGGCAGGACGATCTCAAGTTCAAAACCAGCCTCAGCAATTTAGCAAGGCCCTAAGTAACTCAGTGAGACCCTATCTCAAAATAAAACATAAAAAGGACTGGGGATGTGACTCTGTGGTTAAGTACCCCTGGGTTCAATTTCTGGTACTAAAAAAATAATAATAATAGGAAACAATGGCCACCTATAGATTGAAATTTCAAGTTGTTAGTTATTGATTTTCCTTCCATTATTATTCTGTATGTGTGTTATTCTGACTCACCAAGTGACTCAGGCTGAAAATTAAGATCTTGTTCTTTCTGGCAAAGATATGTGGACTATGTCACTTGCCTCTTGCCGTTTTTGACTTACATGCCCTATAAAAGGTCAGCTTCCAGTAGTGTCCTAACTGGTCAGCATTAACAGTATCCTAGATAGTGAGTTACCCTCCTCCAAAAAAGGAGACTAATATTAATTAAATCTTAGACTAAAAAGGAACCAAATGGGTAATTTCTAACAGATAATTTCTTCTCTTACAAATTGTCATGACTTATCCTGTGATCTTGCACTATATAACATACGTTTCCTATATACATAAAGATGAGAGAGTGAGTGTGTATCTGTGTGTGTGTGTGTGTGTGCGCGCACGCGCTTACATAGGAGGAAGACAGTGCTCAGAAGTTTTCAGAAATTGGTTTTTGTATTAGGAAATGGTATGCTACTAATATGAATTGTTTGTTTTTTTTTAACAGGTTGACATGATGAAAGAAGCATTAGAAAAACTTCAGCTTAATATAGTAGAGATGAAGGATGAAAATGCAACCTTAGATGGTGGAGATGTCTTATTCACAGGTATAGTTACATTTATTTTTTTCTGTCCAAAAATACTTTCACTACCTTAATCATACTCATTTTCTTATAGTTTTTATTTTACTTACTGAAGAAATGGATGCTAAATGCCGAGAATTTGACAAATACAGAAAAGCACAATGAAGAAAAAATTGACCTTCCATTAAGAGATAATCACTTTAACATTTGGTTGTTCATTCTTTCAATACTTTTGTTTGCATATATTTGCATATTCTGACAAGAATGTTATTGGTAGGTAGATGATTAATATGTATTTTGCTTCTATGTTCTTCTACAATTGATTGTATGAGTGGCATAGTTTTGCATCTAGTGACTCTATGTCTGGTTTGTATTTAGAGGATTCTAAATTCTAGATTAGTGTCATTTACAAATAATTTTCTCTCCAGATGGCAAGAGGAATTCAAATAATTTTCTATACAAATTGACTTGGCTTAATGCCAGTTGAGTAATAGCAGACAAAATATAAATGTTAATGTTATTATTGATCTAACAGAATTGCTTTGTACAATCAGTTTAATATGGCTATTAAAGAAACAGTAAATTTAGGATTTAACCTTTCTAATTCTTTTTGATCACAGGACTATTGTTTTATAAAAATCATGTATAAAATTTGGACCCCCACATTCATCTTGATTATATTGAAGAGCAAGATAATAGTAATTTTTAAGTCATACCAAGAGTTTATTTTCCTCTGAATGTCAGAGGATGAATACCTGTTTCACCAGTGTAGCCCAAAGAGCAAAGGCTGGTTCTCAGGAATCTGGAAAGCAGCCTCCCTCATGTGACCCACTGAAAACACAAAGCTTAATATTTTAACTGTTGTGTATTTATATTGAATCCCGTGTATACAGCAGAAGATAGCCTTCCTTATTTTCATCTAGAAATGTTTTTGTGTTGCTTACATTTGGATATACCTAGTTTTCCTGGGGGAGGAGTGTGTTTATTCTCTGCTCAGTGTCCTGTGCCTAGGGCTGAGGCCATTGTGTTGCCCAGCTCCAGGGGGCACCATTCCACCAACAGCTCCGTGAATAGAACCCTCTAGAGCTATGCACTGCAGGGCCTGTGCTGCCATGGACAGAGCTGCTAGTGGCCCTGCTGCTGGGGTGTGGTCTGCCGCACACTGAGCCTTCAGACGCAGAACAAGGGGTCGAGGAGGCTCAGGCTGCATTCTTAGCTCTGACTGTGTCTGGCAAAACACAGGCATTCTTCAACTCTACCCAGTAAGTCCTCCCCACCCCCCACTTAGATTATCCTTTGAGCCTCCCATTGATGGCACTTTCATTCTTTTTGACAGCCCAGAACAACAGCTTGTTTCACTTAGAAAATAGTTTTGTGAAAAGCTGGATGTATAAATCACACTTCCTTAACGATACTTTTTTTAAAAAACAGAAATAGTCATATAATACACAACTTATTGTAAGCAGATATGGATCACATTTGCAGTACAGCTTAAAACAAGCGATGTTCACAGCCATTTAGTTGTCTTCACAGCTGAGCTGCACAACTACCCTAAAATCTCTTCAACGGGAAGGCGCAGAAGGAATCCCTTCCTACATGGTCCACAGTCTTTCCACAGCATTTCAAGCCCAGTGCTTTCCCCCATATTCTAATTAGGCACTAAGTACTAAGGCTTACCTTTGATACACTCTGTAGTTTTTTTTTTTTTTTTACTTGCTATATTCAGTATATAAACTACCATCTTAGGTATTATATTGAAAGTTGAGATAATGTTGGGACGTCTTTGCTTGGCATCTCATTCAAACCCGATGTTATGTCCTGCTTTCTTTCTCCAACTTCTGAAGTTTTCTTTCTTCCCTCATTTTTTATTGTGGTAAAACATGACATAAAATTTGCCATTTTCACCATTTTTAAGTGTACAATTCATGGGGCAATAATCGCATTCACAATAGTATGCAATATTACCACTCAATTTTTTGGATTATACAGAATTGTATAAGAAAATCTGTAGCACTTTCCATGTGTTCTGTGCCCTCTTCCTTCTGTAACTCAAGATTCATTAATAATTTATCAGGAAATGGACAGAAGGAGAGCTGCTTTCCAATTCCAGTTCCTGCTGGGAAATCTGTCAGTCAGGCAAGCAGCTACGGGCTAAAACAGTTTTCATTCCCTTTCTCTTGAATAAATAACATTGGCTTATCTCTACTTTTATTTATGTATTTTTGTGAAATATAGAGTGCATAAAAATGAATTGTAAAATGTGTATGTACTGCTTTGAAGACCAAAAAGAAAATGAACACCTGGGTACTCACCCCTGGCTTATGAAATAGAGTATTACCAGGACTACAGAAACACTTGGGGTCCCCCCATCCCAATCTCTCCCTCCTCCCAGCCTCAAGAAATCACTGCTCAGTTTTGCTTGTCTTACAGCTTTTTTATTATTAGTGTCCCACTATATGAACTCTTGCATGAATTTTTCTACTTTTGATTCAAGTCGATGTGTGTAGCTGCAGTTCATTTTCAATGCTGGCTAGTACTCTGTAGAATTATACCACAATGTATTTATGCACTTTCTGGTGATGTATATTTTGGGTATTTTCTGGTTCTTCTCTACTATTATCTTCAATACTGCTATGTTAATTTCTGTATGTATCTCCTGCAGACATGTATAAGAGTTCCTCTAAGGTCAACATTGGGAAATGAATTCCGGGTTACAGGGTAAATTCTTTCTTTCTTCCAATGAAATGATTATTTGATTTTCTTCTTTAATCTGAAACATGGTTAATTATATTAATCAATTTTCTGGTAGTTGACCAGTCTTGCATCTCCGGGTTGAAATCAAACTTGATCATGATTAATTCACTGTTTCATAGAGTATTGGAATTAGTTTGCTAACATTTTGTTAAGACTTTATTTCATGTCCTATAATTTTTTCTTTCTTGTTATTCTTGTCTGTTTTTGGTAAAGTGTTATATTAGTCTCATGAAAAATATTAAGGGATGTTTCTTGTTTTTCTGTTCTCTGGAATCAGTACCAATTGAACTGTGTATTCCTTGAGCTGTGGTAGGTAGGACACGTCCATAAACAGTGTCTAGTGCCTTCTTTGCAGGGATGATTTTAAACTGGTTCACTTCTTTTAAAGATAATATGACGAGGCTTCCCTGAGTCCATTTAGAAGCATTCCATTTTTCTAGGACTTTATCTATTTTATGTAAAATTTTCAAAATGTTGGATATAAAGTTATTCCTGTCTTCTGATGTTTGTTTAAGCTTCACAGCAACGGTAGCTATATTCCTTTTTCATTTGTGATATTTATGCCATCTGCCTGGCTGCCTGCCCCCTTCCTTCTTTCCTTCCTTCCTTCCTTCCTTCCTTCCTTCCTGCCTACCTACCTGCCTGAAGTTGGTCAATTTTATTAACCTTTTCAAAGGACCGGCTACTGGATTCGTTGAACTCTCTCTCTTGAATATTTCCTTTATTTATTTCCTTCTTTCAGATTTCTTTGTTTTATTGGATTCTTTTTCCCCCTACATCTCAAGTTGGAATTTTATCTCATTAATTTTGAATCTTTCATCTTCACTAAATAAGCATTTTCTTCCAAGTACAACTTCAGAGAATCTTTTTTTAAAATTTTTGTTATCATTTAGTTCCAAATGTTTTTAAATTTACATTATGATTTAATTGTTGACTCGTGATTTAAAAAAAAAAAAAACTTGGCCATTTTTATAAGTTATTGGAACACCAACCCATCAGTCTAATGGTGGGTAGGTGAAGGAAAGACACAGCTTTTATCTTATCTTTCCTTTTACAAGTTATATTTCAAGTAGACCCAATACTTGATTGTGATTTTCTTTTTAGAATTCCAGCCAGCAAATGCAGATCTGTAACAAAATAGTGGGTCTATGCATGATTATCAAACAATATGAAAACCATTATGTAAAGAATTGATAGAAAACTATATAATAGGAAAATTAATCTGATGCCTCCTGAAACCACTGATCCTTCTAGTCTAACTATTGAAAATGGAGCAGTCAGTCCTGTGCTTCCTTATGTAATGCAGTAGAAGCGCAGCCCTACCTCTGAAGTTGTCCTAGCCAAAAAAAAAAAAAAAAAAGATGAGATTCTAATTCAACTATCTACATTAAACTATGTTTACTAAAAATAGAAAGGATAAAGGAACGGTTTAAATGTTAAATGACATTAGGAAGCAATCGGGCAAATCTAGAATGTAGGCTAGTCAACAGATAGACTAAAAGGGCTGGGGTTTTTCCTATAAATAAATACCATAGAAGTGGGGGGAAAGAATTGGCATAGAAGAAAATGACACACAGATACCAAAAAACTATTAAATACTTCAATAGCATTTTAGTTATTTCCATCAGGAATGTCATTTAGGGGATCTTATCCGTAACACTGCCAGAAACAGAGAAGTACAACTTAACTTTTTAAAGACATAAACAGTATGCTCATCTTTGTACTTTCCTGTCATATTTAATTTTATGAAATTGAGATAGCGTGCATGCCCCTCTAAAAACATGTTAAAATTTGCTTAATACATTAAGTTTTTCTTTTTTAAAAAAAAATGTTTTTTTAGATGTTGATGGACCTTTGTTTTATTCATTTATTTATATGTGATGCTGAGGATCAAACCCAGTGCCTCACGTATGCTAGGCAAGCACTCTACCACTGAGCCACAACCCCCGCCCCAGTACTGAATTTTTTTTTTTAAAGTTGTATATGAGACTAATTTATAAATGTATTTTTATCTGAAAAGAATTAGTGAAACTTTATTTTGTAATTATAGCTGACTTTTTTTTTATAAAGTAATACTTTTGCCAAGGAACAGACCTGCCCCTACTTAAATTTTGATTTTTATGTCTGAGTTTTCTTAAGAGACTACACGATCATACCATTGCCAAAAAAAATTGTCATTGTGCCACAGCAGATTTGTCTGTCTGCCAACAGCATAAACCCTTGGAATTTGTCCTAACATCATTTGACCTGTGTCATTTACCCCTTTTATGAGAACAGATGAAGATTAAAGGAGTAGCATTTGTAAAGTCTGTCAAAACAGTCCCTTTTCCATAGCTATCTTCTTACATTTATGATGATGCTCTGGGACAAAAACTCACCGATTTCTCTTTGAATAACAAAAGTAACAAAGGGTAATACTGCTAACTTGTCCTTGCTGTTACCTAATTTCTGATTAAAGATTGTGAATGTTTAATTCTTTTGTTTCCTAAATGAAAAGTGAATTTTTTATTGTGTTAAAATATACATAACATAAAATTTATCATCAGATCTATTTCTGAGGGTACAGAGGCAGTATGGATGACCTTTATGCTTTCAAGTGGAATTTTTTTCCCCCAAAGAATTAAGGGAAAATGAAAATCCCCACATTTATGTATTGCTCAACCCTATGTACAATAGTTGTCTCATTGCCTAAACTTAGAGACCATTCTTACTTAGTGTTTGCTTTCTTTAGAGAAAAGTTGCAAAATTTCAGAGACATCAAACACCAAGGTCTTTCGTCCTTAACTTTTTTCACTTTGCAAATAGGTGTCTTCATGTTTGATTTGAAACAAATAGATGTATAATTTTAAAGACAGAGCTCTTAGAGACCAGACCCGAAGAGCAGTAAGCACTACACTCATGTTACCCATATGGTTTCTTCAGGCCTTACTTGATGCTTATAAGAAAAGGCCTTCATTAATAATGTTAATTAAATACATTATTCTTACAGGAGGTAACCAAGGGCAACACTGCTAACTTGTCATTGCTATTACCTAATTTCTAGTTATAGATTATGAGTATGTTTAATTCTTTTGTTTCTTAAATGAAAAGTTAATTCTTCATTGTGGTAAAATATACATAGCATAAAGTTTACCATCAGATCTGTTTCTGAGGGTACAGTTCCAGGCAGTATGGACCTTCATGCTGTTATGTACACCACCATACTTCAGGCAGTATGCCCCACCATGCAGCTCTAGGATTTTTTCATCTTCCCAAACTGAGACTCTGTGCCCATTAAACGCGCTCATTTATTTCTCCTCTCAGCTCCCGGAAACCTCCATCCTGTTTTCTGTCTCTATGAATTTGAAAAAAGCTTATTTTTAAGGGTAATAATTTGAGTTGAACTTTTTGTAAAGGGAACAGGGGGTCTTTTTGGTGGAGCTGTCCTCTGTGGCAGGAAGGAACTATGTGATGCTTTCAGGTCAGTATTTATAGATAAAAGAAATAGTGCACAGTCACTGGGGCCACACACTCACTATGTTTCATGACATCTATTATAGGCAGAGAATTTTTTGTGGGCCTTTCCAAAAGGACAAATCAACGAGGTGCTGAAATCTTGGCTGATACTTTTAAGGTAGGTAAAGGATAATTGATGCCTGGCAGAGTAATTACTTGATAAATATTCATAGAACCATTGAATCAATATGTTATGAGTAATGGTGTTTACATTTCACCAGCATGACAAAAATAAGTCCTAGTATTTGCACATTTGCTAGAAGATTTAAACATTATCAAATTCGAATTTCTTGATAATTAAGCTTCATTAATTAATGGGAGCAACTGACAAAGTTAGTGTGACCATCCTCACTTTTCTTCCAGGATGTAATGATACAAACACCTGGCACATGTTCTTGGAACAATAAATGACACACACACACACACACACACACAAATTTGGAGATCCAGTTGACTTTTATATGAAATGTTACTTTTCTGATGAAAATCAGAGATTGCCTTTACATGGATGCCTACTATGTGCTCGAAACTGGGCTAGTATTTCACATCTCCTTTCAAGGTCCCTTTCTTGATGATCAATAGATGGGCTCTCCTGACTGCTTATGAAGGGATATAACCACTAATAAGCTCCTCTCCCCATGAGGACATGAGGCTCTGACTGAGCCACAGTTTGCACAGGGTATTGAAACCACCATCCTATAATGGTCCACTTTACAGGCCATAGAGCTGGCAAAGCTCTTGACTCAGTCATGTCTAGGAGGAAGTTCTGCTTGCTTCTCAGAGGTAGTCTTCATTGTCAACTACCCCGCATTACCAAAGCTGTGGGTCACAGTTTTTCTTCCAGATATTTGGGGCCCGACAGCCTTCAAATGAGCAAGCGCAGTTCAGGCAGGATTTAATCAGTTTTACAATTACTCTGCAATACCAAACTGCTTGTTATTCTGTTTGTCTGTGTAGGACTATGCAGTCTCCACAGTCCCTGTAGCGGATGCTTTGCATTTGAAGAGTTTCTGCAGCATGGCTGGGCCTAACCTGATTGCAATCGGGTCTAGTGAAGCTGCGCAGAAGGCCCTCAAGGTAAATACAACAACACAGTGTTTCTCCTTGCAGCAGCAGTGCCTGCTAAAGGGCTTTTCTGGTCATCTGCCAGTTGGGCAGCAATCAGGGCTGGCAGGGAGAGAACAGAGTGGCACCCGTGTGTGATATGCACTGTCGTGACCTGGCATTCATTAGAACCAGGAACACCTAAGTGTAGGAAGAGCTCTTCACTGGTGAAATATTTTTAGTCCCATGCCAGGTTTCCTTGAACAACCAGGATTCAGGATAATAAACACCAAACTCATCACAGTTATACAATCTGAGGATGAGAGGTCCTGCCCCCACATAGAGCTCCTTGCAACATTTTCTCTCTTATGTAAGAGAGTTGGTACATAAAGGCTGGTTATATTATTCTTACCCTTCTGTTATGCCTGAACTATTTCATAATAATCTCTTAGAAGGCTCTGACTCAGAAGTACCTAAAAAGCCTAGCTTCTTCATTTGTATTTGAAGTAATTAAATTTTAGGAGAGGAAATGTCCACATTTTTTTAGCTGAGACTAACAAAGCCCAGAAAAATTGTGACTGGCCCGGTCACACTGCTAGATCAAGAGTGGAGGTAGTTGATGATAAAGACTTTCTTTTGTCACAGTGCTTTCCAGTTCAAAGATATGTTTCTTCTCTGTAACTTCAACCCAGGGAGATGATCTGAACACCCCACAAAGGCAAAAACTGTCTGTGTAGCTCACCATTGTATTACTTCACGTTAGACCCACTGTGGGCCCTAAATAAATACCTGGTGAGTGGATGGATTGATAAATGAGGCAATATTACCTCATTTTTGCTGATAAGAAAACTAGATGGAGTGCCTCACCCCAGGTCAGAAGGCTAGCACTAAATAGTGGGGTGGGACAGCAGCCCCTTCCTCTGAGGGGGCCCTGCACATCAGTATGCATGACTTATTCAAGCACCAAAAACAGAGACTCCTCTTAGGCAAAGGGAACAGATCTGTCTGCCCCGACTTGCACAATTCATTGGTCTGCCCTTTGGGGTTCTTCCTTTTCTACCTCAGCGCTAATACGCCTGGGGCAGCGGGCTGGCAAGCAGTCATTCCCTCAAGCTGAATTTCCCCTCTACATTATCTGCAGCTCTGGCTGGCTCAGCTGGTCTTTCTCCCTTTTCCTAAACTCTATCTTTGATGGTATTCCTGGAGATTTTAACAACTGTTGCTGAATTATCTGTCTCAAGATTTGGTATGTATCACGGTGTTTTTTTTTTTTTTTTTTTTTGTCTCCTTAGAGTATGTCCTTTGGTCTGTTTCATCCAGAAAACTGTGTCAACTCTCTGTGTCTAAAAATAATGTCATCTTGAAAGAAAGCATTTGATGAATCATGTCATCCAGGGGATCTAGGAAGATGGTATTTCTTCTTCGGGAGTAACTGTGGTATCTATGGCAGTCAAATTGATCTGCACATGTCTGAAATCGAATATAAAGGAAGAAGAGGGCTTAAGCTGGTCTCCCATACCATGTCTTTGAGTTCATAACTCCTTTCTGCATGGACAAATTTAAAAAGTAGCCCCTTCTTCTGTTCTGAACACTAGGTCCCTGACTCAAGCCATGCAACAGGTCCCTAACTTAGAAAGACACTAACTCAAATAGTATGGGGAAACCAACACAGAACAAAATAAGAGATAATATAATATGGCTAATTAACATGATATTATATGAAATACCCTCTAATTTCCTGTTCAAAATTCAGAGGAAAGGGGTGATTCTCTCTGGGCTAGATATTCAGAGAAGTTTCCTGGAGAAAATGGGACTATTTGTGCATCTTAAAGGACAGATGGCATTTGGCAGGATAAGAGTCTTCCAGGTGAGGGTATAACATAAGCAAAGACTAAGCAAAAGCACCTTCATGAAATATGAGCAAACCAGCCCAGCTGATCAAGGGTTTTCTTGTGGACCTCTGAATGGAGAAGGTGAGATCTAAAGAAGTCAGAACTTAAAAGTTAGGAAGACAAGATTAATAGTATAAAGCAGGAGTCTGGGCACTAACAGTCTCCACATTTCTTCCGAGATGTTAAACCAACATTTCTTTTGCAGGAAAAAACAAACAAACAAACAAACAGAAAGTTGAAGGGGGAAAACCTTGCAGTCAGAACAGAGGACCACTGATGACCTAGAAAAGAAAGCTAAGGCCCGAGTCCCATTTGTGTCTTAGCAACTCACTCCCATTTCTTCATTCATCCTTCCCTTCCATTGTCAGATTCTCTAAGACCATGTCTCTTAAGGACACCCTATGTTGACTTCATAGTCCTCCTTCCTGTAGAGTTCTTATGAGTTAGCATTAATAATGATGTTCATTCTCTACTTGAAACCTGTGTCAGAAGCTATAAATAGTCCTCACAAGCTCGAAAGGCATTCTTTGGAGATTGAATTTTCCATCAGCAAATGTGCTGCCTAAACCATCGGCCTGTGGAGTTGGCAAATGACCACCCACCGTGTTCCTACCATCAAAAACGTCCTTTTTACTTTGTAGTGAGAGCAGGAGGACAAACTGAATGAGAGAACAATCAGATCTGCCAGAGGGAAGGAACTCAGGTCAGAAATGGGTGGGTTGGTGAAATTCATATTTAGGTAAACCAATTATTTGAGAACAGTCTGTCTCCTGAATTAGAGCCATCCATAAAATAAATAATTGGGTAAATCCTACTACTAACATGGAGTCATAAATACTGATGTAGACAGAGAAAACATAGGTAGATATAGACACAAATATCATTTACAAATGCAATATTATTGGTTTATTTCCCCCATTTTTCAGGTCAAAATACTGAGAGCTGATGAAATAAGCATTTTGAATAGGATCTTATGGTTCCAGAATCACATTTCCTGGGCCCTAATTTCTCTTCATCTCAATTGCCCACTCTGTTAGTTAGCTTTCCTTTGCTGTGAAAAATATCTGAGATAAATCAACTTAAAGAGATTTATCTTTTTTGTTTGTTTGTTTGCTTGTTTTTAAAGTGCTGGGAATTGAACCCATGCATACTAGGCAAAAAGATTTATCTTGCTTGGCCATGTTTCTTTGGGTCTGGAGTAAAGGAGAACATCATGGTGGGAAATGCATGACAGAGCATAGCTGCTGACCTCTTGGCAATGGGGAAACAGAGGGAGGGGTCAGTGGTCCCAATGCCCGCTTCAAGGGCATATACCCCAGTGACCTAACTGTCTTCTACTAGCCCCACCTCCTAAAATTCTACCACCTTTCAGTAGCATCATGGCTGAGGACCCAAGCCTTTGACTTGTGGAATTTTTTTTTTTAACACAATGAAGTTTTTGTTTTTGTTTTGGTACTAGGAATTGAATCCAGGAGCACTTAACTACTGAGCGATATCCCCAGCCTTTTTAATTTTTTATTTTGAGACAAGGTCTCCTTAAGTTTCTTAGAACCTGCCTAAGTTGCCTAGGCTGGCTTTGAACTTGTGATCCTCCTGCCTCAGCTTCCTGACTTGCTGGGATTATAGGAATGTGCCACCTCATCTGGCTGACACATGAACTTTTGAGGGACAGTTAAGACCCAAACTATAGTACCCATCCCATCTACACATTCTTTTTCTGTTGGAAACCCTTTAGAAATTATTTTACACTGGATTTGTTCTAGTGGAGCTCTCTCTCTTTTTTTTTTTCCTTTAATTTTTATTGTTGGTTGTTCAAAACATTACATAGTTCTTGACATATCATATTTCACACTTTGATTCAAGTGGGTTATGAACTCCCATTTTTATCCCGTATACAGATTGCAGCATCCTCCTGCCCTCTCTCTCCAGCTCTTCCTCCTCTTCCCACTTTTTACTGGTATCCAGGATTTGACTGGTCTTAGGGAAGGAATGAGTTCTGTCCCAGATGTCTATTTTTCCTCTTGCAAACCTTGATGTGGTCCTTGCCTCTGTAAAAAGCAGTCCTGGCCCTTTAGGCATCTTTTTGAAAGGCAAATTATTTAAACAGAGGTGAATTGTACTTTCCTGTGCTACACACTGAAAGCTTGATTACTTCCCACATCTGTCACTGCACTCTGAGTACTGGTTTCCTTCAGAGTCTGAAAGCAATTTCTTACATATTCATGTAAAGCGGAGAGCCCAAGGGTTTCTGGGTGGTCTTATTGCATTTGAAACACTTTGCAATGGCTGCAATCTATTCTTGGTTAATGAAGTGGGTTCTTAATGGAGATAGTCATCATACCTGTCTAGGTTGTAGTACATTTAATAGGGTGTGCATTGTGTACTTAAATGAAATCATCCATCTGGGAAGATTTTAGCAACTCTCTGCTAAAAGGCCCAGAATACATTTAATACAGGGTACCAACCTTGCAATGGAGAAAGAAGGACATATTATTATTAAAATATTTTACTTTGGTATGGCCAAGGTACTGGAAGTTAGATTGATTTGATCCAATTCTTAAAGACATTTAACATCAGATTTGTTATTTAATCAAAATTTGTCTTTAGAGCAACCTATTCATTCTATAGATTTCTCCTTCATTTTCCATCATTTCCTTCATGCCCCTGGACAACTGCCACCTTCATCCTACCCCTCTACCTATAAAAAGGAATAAAGTAAGATTTATACACAGGCATCAGACCCACTGGCCACCTTCCAGAAGAAATGTCTGTCTTCTCAAAGATGAGCACTCACTGCACCACAGCTGGAACTTCTGTCCACAAACACAACCCGAGCAATACAAGTCAACCTCCAAAGAATACACAGTGTCATATATTCATATAAAGTTAAATAACAGGCAAAACTATTCTATACTGTTAGCTGTCAGAGCAGTGGTTACTTTAAGAGAGGGAGAGAGGGAGTCATGGTCCAGAAGGTCATTTTGTATGTTGGACTTTAATTTTTTAAAACTTTATGAAAAATACATCTATTGTTGGAAGTAGGCTATGGCTGAGTTAGAGAAATAATTCCCTAATAGTGAGATCTACCTCTCAAACCCCTGCTTTTTTCTTCTGCATAATGCCTGTCTTTTCTAAGGGCTA